CAAAGCTGCCTCTCAAACCTTGGACCTTTCCAAGGCACAGACATCTCAGGCTAGGGGCAAATAACACTCCTATAATAAGGTCCTGCCTCTTAAAAATGCTGGTCAAAGTGACTTCCGGACCCAACACTACAATAAAGTTTACCCCTTTGACAAGGAGTGGACGACTGCACCGCTCCGACGGCTGCTAGAACCGAACATGATCCAATTTTCAGAGGTCAACACACCAGAGCCGGCTGGGCAGGAGAAGAATGAGAAGTACTGTGCCTATCACAGGAAAGTAGGCCACCCCACTCATGACTTCTATAAGCTCAACGACACTATCAAAGCCCTTACTATCAAGGGTCAGATAAAGCTCGAAGAGCTAAAGAAAGCATTCAGGCAACTGAGGCCTCCCACATAGTGACGATCAATGAGGATGAGGGAGCACCTACTATCCTCTGTGCACTATTCTCCATAATGGTCGAAGAGGGACACATCACACTGAAGTCGACAAGGCAGCCTAAGTTCCTGCCTCCAGGAACTGAGAACCTCTAGTGCTCGTATCAACTGATATGAGGCCATGATGTGAGTGAATGCACTAGCTTCCACGAACTCTTGGTTAAGAAGATAAAGCAATGTCAGGAAGCTCATCGTAACCTAGAAGGGCACTCTCAAGTCCCTCTTCTGCCAGTGCAAGAAGAACTCCCGACGCAAGCCCTTGGAAGCACTGAGTCAGACCCTCTACAGGCCCTCTTCGAGGCAATGCTCCAACAGAGCCTCATCACTCCCAAGCCCGGCAGGTAGCCTAAACGTCTCATCCAGGGTACGAAAACCTCTTGTGCCCATATCATCAAGTATGGGGCCACGAGCTGAAATAATGTTTTGGGTTTGAAGTTAAACACTCAAAAGGTACAAGAAGGCTACATCATCTACGCTGTTCTTCCCAAGCACTTCCAAGCCGTCACTATTGTCCAAGAGAAGACCCTGCTGTAAGTCCCTCATGAGCATACACCGGACCCTTCTGAGCCCTCGACTTCTCAACCCTGGGAAATCTACCATGAGCGAAGTAGGCTCAAATCCCTGAAGCATGAGGCAGTTCACCAGGCTAGGGCTACTCACCATCCTGATAGAGTGGTCCAGACACCCCCTCAGGTGTCCAGAAGGAGGTGACAAGCACCTAGGTAAGTCTGTCGAAGGAATCTCATCCCGTAGCCACCAGTCGAGAAAGAATTTCTCAAACCTCTTCCTCCACTACGAACTTTACAGGATTTCATCCCAGATGCAGCTCGCTATAACCTTTCATCCAATCAAGCAGACATCCCTGAGTCGCCAGTAGATCGAGATTCCTCCAATACGGGTGACTATGATAAAAGAATCCCACAACGGTCAAAGCAGGGGCAAGACCACATGTTGAATTCTGGCGACGACATAAAAAGCTGCCTGCAATATTCTAACTCTTCTCCTCCCTCCTCTTCTATTTTCTCCACAGGTGCAGCTCAACAGTGTCTAGACTTCGACGCTCTAAATAGAGAACACAGAGGCACCAGTATCAGTTGGTCGTAGCAAGAGGGCCTTGGTTCGGTGCCTCGATCTCGCCCTCTTGATCTGGATGTGTAAGGGACACAATTTTCTTCGAAGCCAATATCACCAAGCTAGAAGAGAGATGTAATGTCGAGCGAGAAGGTGTAAGGATTTTCACTGCGCGTGAAAGGCATATGGAGTATTACCGTCTGAGGCATTACCGTGCGTGTTTAAGGAGCAGTGCCAGTTGGAGTAGTGCCGAGTGGAGTAGCACACCGGGTTGAGCAGCGCCGATTGAAGTAGCACTGAGTGGAGCAGCGTTGATTGGAGTAGCCCCAATTGGAGCAACACTGGTTGGAGTACCGCCTATTCGAGCAGTACGGAGTGGAGCAGCACCGGTTGGAGTAGCACACCGGTTGGAGTAGCCCCAGGTGGAGTAGTGCCAGTTGGAGTAGCGCACCGGTTGGAGTAGAGCAAGGTGGAGCAATGGTGTGTGGAGTAGCACACCAATTGGAGTGGTACCGTCAATTGGAGCAGCGCTGGTTGGAGTAGAGCGCCGGTTGGAGTAGCATATGTTGGAGCAGTGCTGGGTGGAGCAGTGCCAGTTGGATGTTTGATAGTGCAGCACTCGGAGTATCTTAGTCAAACGTACAACCTCTGTACATGTCAGTGTCGTCCTGTACGTGTCTGAGAAATGAGTGATTGCATCAACCACAATGTTTTCCAACCACCGTCTACTTTTAAGCCTTGGGCAACACGGTTCTCTCCCATTTTTCTCAACTTTTCCCTCTCTCTTGAAGCTCACTGCTGCTCCTTTCAAGACAACCCACTGGAGAAGCCAAGGAAAGCCCATGAAGGCCATGAATGAGGATTTGTGATACTGTGAGAAGTCAAGGTAAGTGAGTTTAGCTTTTTGCATCCATGAGTGTTGTAAAAATGTTGAAATGGATTAGATAATATAAAGAAAATGTGAAGAATCAATGGGTTAACATGAGGTTCAAGTTTGAGTTTGTGCTTCTCAATGCCATGACTGTGTCTACCATATGTTTGATCTTTTTATTTATGGAAACTCTTGAAATCCCTCACTATGAGACTCCTTATCACGAATAAGTTTCCAAGCCCAAAGTGTAGCTTGACTAGGAAAAATTAAGTGTTATTTAAAAGTATATTAACTTGAGAATATGAATTTCTAGAACTGTGAATGTTTTTGCATCTATATGTTCAATGATCAAATAGCATCCAAATGGGCTGCTATTTCCAGAACCTGTGGCCCTCTTTGGGCAATGCTTTTGACTTGGGTAATGGTATCCAAAAACCTTGAAATTACTTCCATTGGATAGGTTTATGAATGTAATTAAAGTTTGATGTTTTGGCATGTTTGACACTTCTCACGGATTTTGGGCTATGAGCCGAAATGAGCGAACACATCACTGCACACTGCTGTAGGGAAATTTCCAGCAACTAAGGCTCACTTTGTACTGACCTATTGACCCATCAAATGGCACTCAAATTTCTTCAAATCATTGTTTTTGTAAAGAAATGTGTATTAGCTCAAGGTTTCATGTTTGAGGCATCCTGAAACTCCCCCTACATGGGGGGCTATGCCCCCACTAAGAGGGGTATGTCACTCTTACTTGTAACTGCATCATTGTATGACCATGCGAAGCTAAGTTATCCTGATATATGATAAATGTGAATGTCATATGATAAATTCCATGAGAATGCCATAAATATATGTGAATGATGCCGTGTAACTTGGTGAGAAAAAGGGGCCACGAGCACGATAATGATGAAATGAATTAACAACGAATGCCAAATGCTATTGAGAAAGCTTTTGTGTAAATGCTCTGTGACAGCTTATGAAATGCATGTATTTTGCTAAATGCTATGACGTTATGATCAAATATGATTCATCTGTTATGATACGATGAATGGCCACTGCTTATATTGTTATGGATCACTACAAGGTGGGACACTCACCGGTAGTGGATACTATTATGATGATGCGATGAATGGCCACTACTTATATTGTTATGGACCACTACACGATGGGACACTCACCAGTAGTGGATACTATTATGATGATGCGATGAATGGCCACTGCTTATATTGTTATTGACCACTACATGGTGGGACACACTCACCGATAGTGGATACTGTTATGATGATGCGACGAATGGCCACTACTTATATTGTTATTGACCACTACATGGTGGGACACTCGCCGATAGTGGATACTGTTATGATGATGTGATGAATGGCCACTGTTTATGTTGATATTGGCCATTACACACTGGGACACTCACTGGTAGTGGATGCTACTATCATGTTGCCTGCTACGCGATGGGATACTCATCGGTCGTAAGGAAAGAGATGTCGACATATCCCCTAAGCTTGCAAGGTAAGGGCCTATCGAAACCCCAATGCGCTCTGGGGACCGTGTGAGTGTGTTGAGGGTATTTCGAAGTGGATACCCTACTTATCATTACCCTCCCTCCTGTGTGATGGTAGAGGTCTTGAGCAATAGGATTGGCTTAGCCTGATGGATAAGGCCACTATTGCTGGAGTAGTTGATTTAGGAGTGCGTGGGTAATGATTGAATTTCTTTATAAGGAATGTTTAGCATTATAATGATGGAATGATATATAATTTCACTAATTGAACGCTCTGATCACACTGATTTAGTGATGACTTCCGTTTAAATGAAATGTTCATATTCGATGTCTTGACTTGATATGCATTTATGCTAATTTATGACTTTATATTGATAAACTGTACTGTTGTTACATATGGATAGAACCACCACAGATTCATAACACTAGACCTGCTTAATGGGTAGTATAGCTCATCCCATTATTTATCCTCTGCTTGTAGATTGATAGCGGAAGGTACATGCTTGGAAGTTCGTGTTTGGTGGCTGGAAGACAAAGCTAGTGTTCTTGAAGAAAGTGCTTAGATCTTGTTTTATGTATGGGCTGTTTTGCCCTGGTTTTGTTTTGTTCTTGGTGGATATGTGTAATATTGGGCCTAGATGCCCCGAATTGAATGTAATATTTTGGAAGATTTTCATATTATGAATTTTGGTGTGCAGAGTTTTTCCTTAGTCTTCTGCTAGTTAAGCTTGTCACTTTAGCTCTCTTCCATGGTTTGCTCGATTTTCGAATATAAAGGTGTTGAGTCCACTCCTACCTGAGTGACAAACGTTACATTAAATCACGAACCCGTACTAGATCACCCGTCGTAGTGTAAGGTACGGTGGTCGGGGGCGGAGTCGTGACAGATATGGTATCAGAGCAACCAGGAGACGATTCTTGGCCTAAAAGGTTTAGGGGAGCCCTTAGATTAGTTTTTGGGTAGGCAAGTGACTAGGTGCTCTTGTTACTAGGTTAAAGGATGTCGAGACCTCGTAATCACAACGCGAGTTCCAATAATGAAAATACCAAAGCACTCGATGAGTTTTATAAGACTCTGAGGGCAATGACCCAAATGATGAAGGATCGATGCCAACCCAGTCTACACCTACATCAGAGCAAAATCACAGTAACCTCATGGAGAGGTTTAGGAGAATGGCACCCCCAACTTTCTTGGGGTATGGAGGAGTGGAGAAGGCTGAGAGGTGGAAGAAACATATAGGGAAGATCTTAGAGGTGTTACACTTCTCAGATGAGCAAAAATTCCGGCTTGGGACCTTTATGCATAATGGGGAAGCAGAATATTGGTGGGACTTGGTAAAGCAAGCTTGGAGTGAGACAAGGACCGAGGTCACTTGGGAAAACTTCTTGATAGAATTTAACGTGAAGTACTTCCCGATTCAGTCAAGGAAAGGAAGGAAGTAGAATTTGTCAAACTCCAGCAAGGGAGTATGACTGTGGAACAATACGTCGCTCGATTTGCAGAGCTTTCTAGGTATGGGCCCCATTTCATAAATACCGAGGCACGAAAGGCGGCTAAATTAGAAAGGGACTTGCAACCAGATATTAAGAGTAGGGTGATGTTGACCAACATAAAGTCATACATCCATATGGTAGATCATGCTCTGAAGATGGAAAAAGATTATGAGGATCACAGGTTAAGGGAGGAAGGAAAAAGGCAAACAGCATCGTCCAAAATGTTTGGGAAGAAACCTTGGCAGTCTTCTAGGAGAAAAGCTGGAGGGAGGCCGTACCCACCTAACTCAAGGATCCCGAAGAATCTTTCGAATAATATGGGAAATGATCATCGCCCGAATTGTACTTATTGCCGGAGAAGCAACCACACTGATGCATAATGCTACCAGAAGAAGAATTTATGTTTGAAATGCAACAAGCCCGACCATTGGACGAAGGACTGCCTGATGATGAAGACCGAGGATCACCTAAAGACCCAAGGACGAGTGTTCACACTCATTGAACAAGAGGCTAAGGCATCCACCTCGGTGATCAGAGGTATGCTCTCAATATGTGATATTAATGCTAAAGCCTTAATTGAACTTAGATCCTCTCATTCATTTGTTGCACCCCATTTTGCTCGTTACATGAATGTTGCACCTGCATGTCTCAATTACACTTTAGTAGTATGTACACCGGTGGGAGACTCTATGGAAACTGATAAAGTACTTAAACAATGTAATATTACAATTGATGGGTATGACCTATCAGTAGACCTGATCCACCTAGATTTTCAAGATGTGATGTTATTCTAAGCATGGATTGGTTGTATACACACCATGCCACCTTCAGCTTCCATGAAAAGACGGTAACCTTTAAACCTCTGAATCAAGTAGAAGTACGCTTTGAGGGCATTAGGGATACTTCTCCTCTGCACTTTACCTCTGCCCTCTGGGCCTCTCGCCTCTTGGCTAAGAGATGTTAGGATATTTGGCATATGTGGTGGAGAATTGGGATGTTCAGCGTTAGAGGGGATACTAGTAGTAAAAGAGTACCCTAAGGTTTTTTCAGAGGAGTTGTCATCCCTACCTTCAGAAAGAGAAATCGAATTTGACTTAGAAGTAGTACCTGGCACTGGTCCCAATTCTAAAGCCCTATATAGAATGGCTCATGCTGTATTGAAAGAGTTAAAAGAGAAGTTGCATGAATTATTGGTTAAGGGTTTTATCCGACCTAGTGTGTCACCGTAGGGTGCATCGGTCCTGTTTGTGAAAAAAAAAGACAAGTCCTTAAGATTATGTATTGACTATAGGCAGTTGAACCAAGTGACGGTGAAAAATAAGTACCGTCTGCCTAAGATTGATGAACTCTTTTACCAACTCCAAGGGGCCCATGTGTTTTCAAAGATTGACCTCATATCAGGTTATCACCAATTGTAGGTCAAGGAGGAAGACATCCCAAAGACCGCTTTCAGAACTAGATATGATCACTATGAGTTTCTTGTGATGTCGTTCGGGTTAATCAATGCCCTCGCTGTGTTCATGGATTTTATGAATAGGGTGTTTAGACCCTTCCTAGATGACTTTGTAGTGGTGTTTATCGATGACACCTTGATATATTCGAAGAGTCAAGAACTACATGAGCAGCATCTAAGGATGGTCTTGCAAATTTTGAAGTCGGCAAGATTGTATGCTAAGTTGAGCAAGAGCGAGTTTTGGCTCCCTAGTGTGACCTTCCTTGCGCACATTATTTCCAAGGCTGGGATCACGGTCGACCCCTCTAAGATTGAAGCCGTACTTAAGTGGGAATGGCCAACAAATGTGATCAAGGTTCATAGTTTCCTGGGACTGACAGGGTACTATAGGTGCTTTATAGAAGGATTCTCAAAGATAACGCTTCCCCTAACTCGGCTAACCCAAAAGAACACAAAATTTGTATGGTAAGAGGAGTGTGAGAAGAGTTTTCAAGAATTTAAGAAGAGACTAGTCACAGCCACAATACTAGCCTTGCCCGAGGGAAATTAAGACTTTGTGGTTTATACCGATGCATCCCATAAAGGGCTTGGATATGTACTTATGCAGAGAGGTAAAGTTATTGCTTATGCCTCCTGATAGCTAAAGCTGAATGAACAAAACTATCCCACTCACGACTTGGAGCTCGCGGCAGTAGTGTTCGCATTAAAAATTTGGAGACACTACCTCTATGGGGTCAAGTTTAACGTGTTCATGAATCACAAGAGTCTCAAGTTTCTGTTTTCCCAGAAAGAGCTAAACATGAGGCAAGGAAGATGGATGGACTTATTAAATGATTATATACAATTGATTACCAACCAGGCAAGACCAATGTAGTGGCCGATGGCCTAAGTCAAAAGGTTGTGGTTTCTGTGGCACACTTAATGATTCGAGAAATGAAGTTGTTAGAGGATGTAGCGGAGTGGCACCCATCCCAGCCCATTGATGAGAGGGAAGGAATGTTGTCATGTTTAAGGATGGACCCAACTCCTTCAACAAATTCGAGCAGCCCAAAAGGAGATCCCCAGCTGATAAAAATCCTTGAAGAAATGAAAATGTAAGGAAAGGAAGATTTCTCTATCAGCAGTGATGACTTTTAAAGGTTTAGAGGTCGAGTATGTGTTCCTAATGATGAGAAGATAAAAAGTGTTGTTCTAGAGGAAGCACACCACTCCCGCTACATGGTACACCCAGGGAGTACAAAGATGTACCAAGATTTGAAAAATCCCTTTTGGTGGAACAACATGAAGCGAGATGTGGCACATTTTGTCTCTTAAGTTTTGACATACCAGCAAGTGAAGGCAGAACATCAGAGACCTGTAGGACTATTACAGCCCCTACCCATACCATAATGGAAATGGCCACACATCATGATGGACTTTGTTTCTAGATTACCGAGATCAAGTGTAGGGCATGATATGTCTAGGTCGTGGTGGACCAATTAACTAAGGCTGCTCACTTCTTACCAATTCGCATGACCTATACTTTAGATAAACTGGCCCAGTTGTACATCAAAGAAATCGTGAGATTACACGGAGTGCCCATCAGTATTGTGTAAGATAGGGACACTAGATTCACCTCCATCTTTTGGGAAGTCTGCTGTCGGCATTGGGAACCAGACATACATTTAGCACCGCCTTTCACCTCCAAACAGATGGACAGTCAAAGAGAGCCATCCAGACCTTGAAGGACATGTTAAGGGCAAGTGTCACTGACTTTAAGGGAAACTGGGAAGACCATCTAACCCAGATAGAATTTGCCTACAAAAAAAACTTCCAAGTCAATATTCAACTGGCACCTTATGAGGCCCTGTATAGAAGAAAGTGTAGGTCGCCCGTCTATTGGGACGAGGTGGGCGAAAGAAGATTATTAGGGCTTGAAATGGTTCAGATGAATTTTGAGAAGATTGCATTGTTTAGAGAGCGGCTCAAGATAGCTCAAAGTCAACAAAAGAGCTACGCCGATAATCACCGGAGAGACCTCAAGTTTGAAGCAGGAGATCGAGTCTTTATGAAGGTATCACCAACTAAAGGTGTTACGAGATTTGGTAAAAATGAGAAATTGAGCTCACGATTCATTAGACCTTTTGAAGTTCTAAAAAGAATTGGAAGCGTGGCTTACTGACTTGCCCTGCCACCTGAACTAGTCAGCATCCACAATGTCTTCCATATATCACTGCTAAGGAAATATCAACCTGACCCATCCCATGTCATGGAGTACGAACCAATCCTACTCAAGGAAGATTTGACCTATGTTGAGCAACCAATTGGTATTTTAGAGAGAAAAGTACAAATGTTGCGCAACAAAGAAATCCCTCTAGTACTATGGCAATATCATTCGAGGGAAGAAATCCCTCTGGTCCAGGTACTATGGCAAATATCATTCGATGGAAGAATCGACATGGGAATGGGAGGATGTGATTAGGGAGAAATGCACCCACCATTTTAGTTAATGTTAATGTGATTTTGAGGACAAAATCCCTTTTAAGGGGGGGATGATGTAAGGGCCACAATTTTCTCCCAAGCCAATGTCACCGTGCGAGAAGAGAGATGTAATATTGAGTGAGAAGGTATAAGGATTTTCACTGCGCACGAAAGGCATAAGGATTTTCACCGCGTGCGAAAGGCGTTTGGATTATTACCGTCTGAGGCATTGCCGCTCGTGTTTAAGGAGCAATGCCGATTGGAGCAGCACCGAGTGGAGTAGCGCGCCGGGTGGAGCAGCGCCGATCGGGGTAGCACCAGGTGGAGCAGCACCGATTGGAGTAGTGTTAGTTGGAGTAGCACCAATTGGAGCAGTGCTAGGTGGAGCAGCGCCGGTAGGAGTAGCGCGCCTATTGGAGTAGTGCCGGTTGGAGTAGTACCGATTGGAGCAGCGCCAGGTGGAGCAGCGCTGGTTCGAGTAGTGCACCGGTTGGAGTAGCATCGGTTGGAGTAGCTTCAGGTGGAGCAGCACTGGTTGTAGCAGCGCGTCGGTTGGAGTAGCGCCGGGTGGAGCAGCGCCTGTTGAATGTTTGATAGTGCAGCGTCGGGAGTGTCTTAGTCAAATGTCCAACCTCTGTACAAGTCAGAGCCACCCCGTACGTGTCAGAGCAATGAGTGATTACATTAACGATAGTGTTTTCCAACCACTCTCTCCTTTTAAGCCTTGGGCAACACAGTTCTCTCCCATTTTTCTCAACTTTTCTCTCTCTCTTGGAGCTCACTGCTACCCCTTTCAAGACAACCCACTGATGAAGCGAAGGAAAGCCCATGAAGGCCATGAATGCGGATTTATGATACCGTGAGAAGTCAAGGAAAGTGGGTTTAGATTTATGCATCCATGAATGTTGTAAAAATGTTGAAATGGATTAGATGATATAAAGGAAAATGTGAAGAATGAATGGGTTAACATGAGGTTGAAGTTTCAGTTTGTGCTTCTCAATGCCATGACTGTGTCTACCATATGTTTGATCTTTTATTTATGGAAACTCATGAAATTGCTCACTTTGATACTCTTTATCAGAAATAAGGTTCCAAGCCCAATTGTAGCTTGGCTAGGAAATATTAAGTGTTCTTTAAAAGTATATTAACTTGAGAATATGAATTTCCAGAACTGTGAATGTCTTTACATCTATATGTAAGATGACCAATGACGTCCAAATGGGACCAAATCAGTACCAAATGAAATACATATGTGTTTGCTCCAAGTATACTTTTTATATCATGATAATATTTTGTATGGATAAAAAGATATGGCCCTCAATGTCGAGGCGTGACACTGTTCACAGTCGCTGCTATTTCCAGCAATTGTGGCCGCATTGGGCAATACTTTTGACCTAGCTAATGATATCCAAAAACCTTGAAATTACTGCCATTGGAAATTTTTATAAATGTACTTAAATTTGCTTC